TATACTCTATCCAGTTGGGCCCCTTCTCTAAATTAACGTATATGGAAGCATGGGAAACCGAATTAGGTATATCACTTTCTGTGGACGAGTGGCAACAATGTACTTCCCGGTTAACCTTGGGATTGCTCAATGTATCCTTACTTGAAGCTAACTATAAAGTTTTTTCTCGCTGGTATTTGGTACCAGCCAGGATGGCAACCATGTTCCCAGGGACTAGTTCGTTGTGTTACAGAGGATATAATCAACAGGGCTCTATGCTTCATGTATGGTGGCATTGTCCAAAATTGTGTTCCTTATGGAACAAGCTTTTTGCCCTGCTTTATCGTATCCTAGGTGTCTATGTTCCGAGAGAGCAGGAAACAGGGACATCGGCACTCCAATGTTAGCGTAAATGCAAAAGTCAACTTGATCTGATGTACGCCAAATTTCTCCAGAGGGGATACCCAACTAGTGTATTAGATCAAGCCCTTAAGAAAGCCATAGAGAAATCCTCCTCTGACACTCAAAAAGTTAAAACACTAGGTGACAGACTCCCTTTTGTGCAGACATTCAATGACTCATCACACTTGGCTCAGAAATCAGTGGTTAGAAATCTGAATATCCTGAGGGCTGACAAATCACTAGCCTCACATATCAAAACACCTCCTTTACATGCGTACCGACGGAGCAAAAAACTTAGGGACCATTTAGTCCAAGCTGACCCGAGACCCAAATATTGCAAGGCACCCATTAAACTTTCCTACCGCACAGGATGCTTTAAGTGCCATGCCTGCAACGCATGCAACGCACTTGTCACCGGGGACACCTTTGCGCATCCCCACAGTGGGAAGAAATATCACATAAAAGGGTACATGAACTGCAACACGGAGTCCTGCATTTATCTACTAAAATGCCCATGCGGACTTACATACATTGGGAAAACGATGGGCCCCTTCAAGAGGCGCTTTCAGAAGCATAGAAGCGACATTAGGATCGCCCTTAGCAAAACTATCAATGGTGAACCCATAGACACCAATAAACCTGTAGCAACACATTTTGCCAAACTCAAACACCAGACACATGAACTCAAGGGCATGGTGATCGACCAGGTTCTCCCTTCGCACAGGGGAGGTGATCACAATAAGCTACTTTTACAGTGTGAGGCACGTTGGATTCATAGACTCGACACCGTTATCCCCAGGGGACTGAATACCAACCTCGCCCTATCATGTTTCTTGACTGAACGATAACAAATTTGTGCTTTTCTGCATATTCTGCTGCGTATTCATCATCCATCACATAACATTGTTCATGCTGTGACATATTTATTCGTTTATTTATGTGTATGATCTTATTAACCCCTCGGGTGGTTTTTACCACAGCCTGGGTTTTGATTGTTTCTTTTGTTTTAAATGTACCGGTCAGCTTTCTAAAGGTACTGGTTAATTTCACAGAGACACTTGGTGGTTTCCTTATTTTTCAGCCCGGTTTTCCCATACAGGACCTTTATTGATTTATGACAATAATTTTATCATGGTAGTTTCCATGTTCCTGGATTATAATTGCTTAAATCCAGTGTAACCGATTCTACATATATGTCCTAAATAAACATGTATAACCCCAGGTTGCCCACACAGTGACTTAGAGCCCAGTATGCAAGTCCTTGTTTTGCCTTTTGTTTTCCTTCTTAGTACCCTGCTTCTCCCCTATTAGCGACTCTACATGCAGCGGCATGGAGCCGCTACCATGACAACCGATGCTACGGCTCCCCCATACGTGTCAGCCCAGTAGGCGTGGAGTGTTGCTGGGTTACCGCAATTAGGGCGGAACCCAGTCTGAATCACATGGGACGCCTCTGACCAATGGGACAGCGAGAGGCGTGGACATGGAGCCCGTCTCTCCACACATCAGGACGGGCCGGTCCAGCGGTACACAGCGGTTTTCTCACTGCATTCATTTTTCTCCAGGGGATAGCATGTAAGTCACTCACAACATATATTTAATATGGTTCTCATACAACGCTTAGATTGCGTTTTATTGCATGTGATACCCCGGGTTATGCCTGTATCTACCTCCTGTGTTCACATCTGATGTTTACTACTGTATTTTGAACTGTTCCTGGCGGGAATGTGACGTCATACATGACGTCACTGGATCACTTAATTGCTTTTGATTGGGTCTTGCTTTGTGGGTGTTTTAAACTGTTTGTTTCTGCACTGTTGCCACATGTCATTGCTTGAGGAAGGGAATCCTGTGTGACCCTGAAACGGTCGTCGCAACTTTGTGACATGTAGTATTTTCTTCAATAAAAAGACTTTTGCATTTACGCTAACATTGGAGTGCCGGTGTCCCTGTTTCCTGATGTTATATGACGGTTGCCGTCCGTCGACCACCGCAGCACCCATATATTTTCCCTTGGAGACAAGCGGTCAGGAGTGCTATGGGTTCATGGATGTAGTATGTTCTGAGGACCCGCAGTACTTACTATTAAATAGACCGATCCTGAGTATTCTGAAAATGCAGGGCAAATTTGTATCCTTCTGTTTCCTAGCAGTTAAGATCTCAATCGCTCGGGCCTGGAAATCCGAAACAGTTCCATTCTCTATGGTACTGTCTAAAATAAATTGGATAATGATCCATGAGAAATTATCCAGTACTTTGCAGGATAGGTATGCTCAATTTGAAGCGGTATGGGAACCCTGACTGAGCCATCTGGCAATTTCAAGCCCACATTGAGTATGAGCATTTTGCTCGGGCTAAACACTGTCTTTGGATGGTCCGGAGCTTGGGAGTCTGCTACACTTTTTATATATATTTTTTTATTTTATGTACCTTGTTTGTGTTTTTTGTTTCTTTTGGTTTGATTAATTTTGGTAGGTTAATGTTTTTATTCTGACTCAGATTGTTGTGATAGCGAAATATATCCCTTGCTGAGACCTCTATGCCTGGCCTGTATAAGCAGATATACTCACTGCGGACAATCCTCGTCAGATAGCTGAACTCGTCAATACCGATTCATTCAAAAGAGGTGTTTATTCTTTAACATCAGGGTTACAGCAGATGATAGGAACAGCAGATGAATGGTTATAGTATTGTGCGGTCAGAAAATGATGCCTTTCCTACGTACTGTGCAGATTACATGTGTGTCCTTGTTACATGTGGCTTTTAACTGTGGCCATGACACAGGAAGTACTGCACACAGGAAGAAGGAAGGGGCGTACACTAGGGGTTAATACATCGTCACATGAGGAATAATTACAGAAAAACATGTACATTACAACAAAAGGCCACTAGATGGCAGCATAGGATAACACATGAATTTAGCTATGAGAAAATAGTTAGGCAAATCACACTATATAAATTCTAACCTATATAACAATGCTAATATTAACTGAGGCTATGCATCTCATATTCTATGCCCCTATTGGGGCGGCACAGTTTTGCTTTCTTCCCCTTGGGGAAAACATGTTTTAATTCACCAGGGGGAAATGTCATGTACTGACATAATGAGTTAAAGGTTCTCGGGATGTAACGATAGGGCTTATCTGCCCTTTTAGTAGATGGTTAACAAAGTAATTTCTTAAATTGTTACCAAGGGTATTATGGGGCTGGTCAAAGAGATAAAGCGGGATATCCTTCGGATGTTATTAGAACCTGATAAAATGCTGTATGGCACATGTCATTTTATTGTAACTACATTGGTAAACATAAGAAACTAAAAAATCAATCAATAAAAAACTTTGGAAGAGAATTTAATTACATATCTAGTTTTATGCATTCCATCTGTAATCACCCTGTATGCTTAATAATAAAATGTCTGCTATAGACAGTGACGTGTGCAAAACACTTATTTGCTATTACGATTACAGTAAGGAGTGTTGCCGATATCACGAAGTATAACGTTTCTAGTTTGGGTGTAACTAGAGGAGCTATTGAGGGCGAAGCTCTCGTCCACTGCTCTTTAAGGACATGTGTAATGGTTTTGTATGTATTGTCTTTCTTTTAACAGGTCAGGGTGAAAAATTAACATGCATAATTTTTTTAACCAGGTAAATATGAAGTATGAATATTTTGTATTCTTATATACAGCCAGCAGATGGAGCCCTAGTCTCCTTGTCACATGTCAAGCCTTGTATCCTCACAGCTTTGCTGAAAGAAAACCTTGTTTACAGAGCTCAGTAGCTCAATCTGAAATCTGCACACACAAGAGCAATGACATATTCAATCCTGTGGTACTCAACAGGTTCTTTATTAAGATTCAATCAGGCAGATATGTTCTCCTTGACCACGTAATAACCCTCCTCCCTCCTCTCTTTCTTTCTTCCTTGTCTTTCTTTGTCTCTGTGTCCTTCTGGTGTCTGCCTGTCTAGTCTGGTTGTGAGTCTATTGTTGTGTTGTTTTTTGTAAGGTGGCTCTAGGTGAAGTAACTTACCTGGTGGTTAAAGGATCATGACCTTCACATGATTTCTGGTTATCGCCTGATGCTGCAGGCTCAGGTCCTCGCCCGACTCAATAACGATGCTCCCCCCACTGGGGTAGGCTTTAGTCGTCTGCGGCCCTCAGGACAGGGATGGGAACTTTTGGGCGAAGGTATGGCTTGGACCCGGGCACATTAACACATATACTGTAGATACGGTTGTTATTATTTACGGCTATACTATTATCCTCAAAGATGCACACTTGACGTTGCCTTTGTATGTTGTTGCAATTTCTTGTCTGTCTGAAAAATTTCAATAAACAATATTTCTGCAAAAAAAAAAAAGATTCAATCAGGCAGAAATTGTGTGAATTGAAACAGTTGTATTCTTTTTAGAAAACCCAAGTACTCTGTGAATCCTTTGTCAGGTATTAGCTTTTTTTTTTGTAAAATAATGATCGTGTTATCGTTTCTCTTTATGGTCAGGTTGCTGAAGCATAAGTACTCTTTCCTTTATTTACCAGCTTTGTGCTCACATTACACTCTTCCCTGTTTTCATGTACTGTTCTAGTCTGTGGAAGACTTGCTGAACAAACTATACCTGTGATTTTTAATTAACTTAACATTGCTGCATAAGCTATGATGGTTCCACGTTACAGGAGTTGTAAATTCACAGCATGTACTATCCCGTTATAACATCCGCCTTGGAATAAGACATGTGCGATTTGTTTCGGAAAGATTCCTTATCCGGACGAATATCAGAAATTCGTACATTCGAATTTCCGAATGACAGAAATAATGAATGCAAACGAATACGAATTTCCGATAATTATAATTTCGGATGCATCCGAATTTCCTTCCCAAATTAAGTTTTATTGTGTTAGGCATCAACTTTAGAAAAAGAAAAAAAACAAAATTTTTGTTAGCAATTGTATGTACAACTTTTTGTTGCAGCAAAGTGACATTAGACAAAAGGAAAAAAAATTACATTTTTTTTTACAGTCTGCAGAAGAAAAAAAAAAAAAAGCATGAGCAATTGATACCGGACCCTTTAGGTCTGGCAGGAATGTTGGGAGGGACCCCCCAAGCTAAAAATAAAATAAGTGCATGGGGTTCCCCCCAAAATTCATACCAGGTACTTTAGATCTGGTAGGGATTTTAAGGAGGAAGGGGAACCCCACCCCAAAAAAATAGGGAGGGGAACGTTGCGTCCACCCTAACATTCCTACCAGACCCTTGATCCTTTCTTAAATAAAGGACTTGTCAAAATTTTCAAAATTGTTGTGTGTTTAATTACATTCACTAGTACCCCTTACTCATTCAAAAGGGGGGGTGGCATCTGGTAGTCCTCTTAATTAAAGTGGTATCCCG